TTGAATCCTGACCCTCACGCTTATTACTTGTATTACACCGGAATTGGGTGACATTGGGGAAAGGTCTCTCCTTTCCAAATCACTGTAATCTCATTTACTTAAAAAAAGAAGAAGAAGAACTCACCTCATGGCCAAGCATGGTGGCTCAAGCCTTTGGGAGGCAGAGGTGAAAGGATTGCCTGAGCTCAGGGGTTTGAGACCAGTCTGGGCAAGTTGGCGAGACCTCATCTCTACAATAAATCAAAAAATAAGCCAGGTGTGGTAGTGTGCACCTATAGCTCCAGCTCCTCAGAAGGCTGAGGAGGAAGAATCACCTGAGCCCAGCAGGTCGATGCTGGGGTGGCCATGAGCACGCCATTGCACTCCAGCCTGGGCAACAGAGTGAGACTCCAACTCAAAAAAAAAAAAAAATTCACCTCATCTCACCTCACCTCACCTCACCTCATAAGGTTGTTTTGTAACGTAAAAGATAAAGTACACATGAAGTGCTTGATGGATAGATAGTAAAAGTCTAAAACTTGGAAACCATTGTTATTATTACGATTACTTCTTCTTCCAAATCACCCTTATTTATATTTGCATACCCATCCTATTCTTGGACACACAGTAGAAAGTCAGTAAAAAAAAAATTGGGAGTCATGTGCAATGGCTCATATCTGCAGTCTCAGGACTCTGGGAGGCCAAAGCAGGAGGGATCACTGGAAGCCAGGAGTTCCAGACCAGTTTGGGCAACACAGCGAGACCCCATTTCTACCCAAAAAAAATACTTTTCAAAAATCAGTCCTGGCACACACCTGTAGGCCCAGGTACTCAGGAGCTGAGGCAAGAGGATCGCTTGAACCCATGAGGTCAAGGCTGCAGTGAGCGATGATTGTGTCACTGCACTCCAGCCTAGGCAACAAAGTAAGACCCTGTCTCTTAAAAAATAATAATCACAAATGAAAATTGAAATTTTTGAATGACTAAAGATATGGAGATTAATCACACACATTAAGATGTACAACTTTATATATTGTTGAAATAAAAATTTTTTTTATCAGAAAAGACAATACGATTGCTTTTTAATATGACTTGCCCCTGTGACTACAGCCTATGTTCCTGGTTTCCCTGAACATATTCCCAGTTCTACTGCATGCATACACCCCTTCCTGTTTGCAGCAGCAACACAATGGTAAGATGTTTTGGCCTTGGACGGGGCCTTTCCGGTCGGCCGCATGATCCCACCAGTGAACTATAATTTCTGCTCTGGGTCCAAGATATTTCCCTCAACTTACGTCTGCCCAGCAGGTGAGGACAGTCGAGGTCAGCATCTCATTCCTGATGGTCAGTGCCAGGCTTCTCTCCAACCTAAACAGGGACAAGAGGAACACTGGCAGGGGCAGAGGAACACAAGATGAAGACCAATAAACATACCAGGGAGTGAACCGTGCATGGAATAATTTGTGAAACCACTTCTAAGGCTACTGTCAAATGACATTTCATCAGGAAAAGTGCTCTTTAACTGGAGGAGAAAGGTTTAGTTCTTCTTGAAAAAAAAAATGAAATACGTGTCATTTTTCTCTCTGGGATCTCAGTTGGGACGAAAAACTTCAGAGAGATTAGGAGACTCTTTAGTAGTGTTTCTCAAGTCTTAAGATGCATAAAAATCACCTGGGGTTTACCAGACACCCAGCCTCTAATGTGGAAGCTAAAGACAAAAAAAAAAGAAAAAGAAAAATGAAAAAGCAACTTGGGCAATCAGAGACCAAGCAGTTAGAGAAAATAAATACATAACATTCATATCCTCTGAGAGATAAAATTTTTGCTTCCATGAATATGAACGGGATGCTGTAAAAAAAAAAAAAATTCAGAAAAAAAATTAGCAAAAAATAGTCCCTAGAAATTAAAAAACATAACAGCAGAAACTTAGCACTCAATAAAAAGATTTAAGGAAAAACCTAAGGATATCTTTTAGAAAAATGAAAGAAAAATGATAGAGATTTTTAAAAACAGGAGAGAAAAAATATTTTTAAAAGAGAGGACATTTACCCAAGTGAGTTGAAAAGTTATGTGAACACAAAATCATGCACGTGGATGTTTATAGCAGCTTCACTCATGGTTGCCAAAACTTGTAAGCAACCAATTTGTCCTTCAGGAGTGAGTAGATAAATAATAGTGGTACATCCAGACAATGGAATATTATCCAGCACCAAAAACACTATCAGGCCATGAAAAATTATGGAGGAAGCTTAAATGCATATTTCTTGATGAAAAAAGTCAGTCTAATGACAGGAGGCCTGTGAAGCCTGGTACAGAAGCTCACTTGTACTTTATCTTGATGACTACTATGATTCGAGTGTCCCCACCAAAACTCATGTTGAAATGTAATTGCCACTGACAATATGGGGAGGTGGAGTCTTTAACAGGTGATTAGGCCGGGTGCGGTGGCTCAAGCCTGTAATCCTAGCACTTTGGGAGGCCGAGGTAAGAGGATTGCCTGAGCCTACGAGTTCGTGAACAGCCTGGGCAACTTGGCGAGACCTCATCTCTACAATAAATCAAAAATTAGCCAGGTGTGGTAGCACACACCTATATATAGTTCTGGCTACTTGGAAGGCTGAGGCAGAAGGATCACCCGAGCCCAACAGGTCGACACTGGGGTGACTGTGAGCATGCCACTGCACTCCAGCCTGGGCAATGGAATGAGACCTCAACTCAAAGAAAAAAAAATACCAGGTGATTAGGTAATGGGGGCAACACCCTCCTGAATGGCTTAAGGCAGTTATCTTGGGGGGGAGTTCATTCTCTTGGGAGTGAATTTGTTCTCACAGGAGTGAGTTAGTCCTTGAAAGAGCTAGTTGTTACACAAACGAACTTGGCTCACTGTCACAGTCTCTTTTGCATGCGCTGACTTGTTCTTGTGCTTTTCCTTCATGTTATGATGTAGCGCAAATGCCCTCCCCAGAAGCTGCTGCCACGTCCTTGGACTTCCCAGCTTCCAGAACTGTGACCAAACAAACTTATTTTTTTTATAAGTAACTCACTCTCAGTAGTATAGCAACAGAAAACAGACTAAGACAATGAGCTCCCAGGAGCCAACAGGATCATTGTCTTACACTCCCCTGGTCCCATAGACCCCATTGCCTGCCCCTGGTCCCATATACCCCATTGCCTGAATGAACTGAAGACACTGATGTCTCTCCGAGAAGCATTCTGCATTAATCTTCTTCTGAGAACTCCAGGAAGGCCCTAGGGAGCTGAGATGCAAAGATACAAAGCAGCACCCTTCCTTTTCAGCCATCTTTGCCAGATGTTCAATCCACAGCCTTGCTCAGATGTCCTTACTATGATTAGCAATCTTCTCAAGACCTTGCCCACTGACTTTCGTAGGCAGGAACTTCTCAAGGAAGCCGAATCCAGGCTCTGTCCCAGAGACACTGATATAAAAAAAGAAAAGAACGAAATGTAGATTCTCGGGCCTCTTCCCTGAGAAAGGAAATCAGAATCTGCCTTGTAACAAGATTCCCAGGGTAAGGTCTCAGAAAAGTAACAAGAAAAACTCTCTCTTTGATGGTTTAGATTGACACTGATTTGAATGACCAAGCTAAAACAAAGTGATATCAGTCCCAATAGTGGCTGTGTGACCTGAATGAAGCATATTTCTGAACCTCTCTGTGCCTCGGTTGTTGTCATCTGTAAAATGGGAATGATAAACATACATGGTACCTGGCAAGTGCTGAGATGGAAGCTTGTGTGCAGGACACCATTCTAAACAGTGTGAGAAAACAATGCTGCTTGTTAGGTATGTTTCAGTGGGCCGGGTGCTCTGTGAGGGCGGGGATTCTCTGCACAGTGCTTGGCACATGGCAGGCGCTCAGCCAGTACTGTTTAATAAATAACTGGCAACATCGCAGGTGACATCAACTTTTGACTAGGACTGCCCCATTCCTTAGTGCATAACATTCTCAAAACTGCCATTTTTCTGCATTCCAGCATTCAAAATCGTGCCAGCCCCCATTCCCACCAGATGGTGAGGAAGGGGAGAGGTTAATGGTCATAGATACTGTAAATCGTTCATACTGGAACTTTATTTTGTTAGTTTTAGTTTTTGTAGAGACTTGGGTCTCCCTATTTTGCCCAGGCTGGTCTCAAACTCCTGGCCTCGAACGATACTCCTGCTTCTGCCTCCTAAAGTGCTGGGATTACAGGCGTGAGCCACTGCGCCCAGCGGACCGCACACTAGAACTTTCCGTGATTACGAATTTGCAATGTCCAAACCTCCCTCCTCTCTGACGCCCCCTAGTGTTGCTCCGCCACTCGCTTTCCCTAAGCCACGCCCCCTTCGTGTCCCGCCCCTTCCCTCCGTCTTATCCAGTTCGACGCCCCGCCCCCTCGGGCCCGCCC